CGTAGTAGTCGAGGAGCGTGCCGGCATGCGTGATCTTCCACACGTGGCCTGCGTACGTGTCTTGCGTGTAGAGCATGTCGGGTGCCACGCGGCTGTACGGGACGTCGACGCCGTCTTCGTCGACCCAGAAAATGTTGATGGGCTCTCGGAAGCGGCACACAAAGGTGATGCAGGTCGGCTGCTGGCTCGTCGGCGACCGACGACCCGGCGCATCGAGCGGTGGCGCCGACGGCGGCTGCGTCGCAACGGTCGTCGTGCATGGCGCAGTGGCTGCTTGGTGCTCGAGGATCGCTTGCTTGAGCGAGTAGTTGGGCATGAGCTCCGTGGACGGCAGCTCTTCGTTGGTCACGGGACTCCGCCGGTGCGACTGGAACCAGCGCGTGATCTGCGCCCGCTCGTACGAGTGGCCATCACGCGCGATCACGGGGTCGCGCATGATCTCACACGAGATCGGGCACAGGAACGACCGCAGTTCGGCCATGTTGCACTATCGATCGGATGTGGTGGAACAGAGACCATCACTCTGAGATGACGTGCAATTCAAACCACATCTGCAAAACGGTTCGCGAATCAAATCCTTGCTTCATACTTGGCTTTACATGATATGGTGGCAAGTCGATTGTGAAGGTCAAGAGAAACACATACCACCTCTATGCGGCTATTCCCGGCTCGGTCGCAGCAGCCAAGCCGTAGCAGCCATGACCTTTCCTGGCACAATCTGCAATTTTGTTCGTAAAAAGTGTACATTGGAACGTTGTCGTTATAAATAATTTAGGCGCGAGGGACCTTTAGTCGTCGTCCTCGATGAGGGCCTCTTCAATCACGTAGAGCTTCTTGCCGAGGGCTCGGCGCTGGTTCTTGCTCCACTCGGTTTCGTAGGGACGGAATGGCACACAGTGCCCGCCCACGATCGTCAGGAACCGGAATTGCGCCGGGCGCGTCGGCTTTGTCGGGCGGTGCGTCCAGTGCACCTTGGAGAGGACGCTAAAGAGGTGCAGGCTCGGCACATTGGCGCTCGAGAGAGCGCCAAAGACTGCATTCGGCCGGGGCTTCGTGACGCGGGACCAGTTGATCGGGTGCGTCGTGGCCTGGCGCGACGAGGCAAGGATGCGGCCGAACGAAGAGCGTGTGAGCATGATCAAGCAAAACAAAAATGAGAAGCGATGTACGATCGCACGGTGGTACCGTCTATTCCCACCCCATTTTTCAAAAAGTTCTCGCGCCAAAAAATTTCGCGCGACAACCGAAAACAGGCGGCGAACGATAGATGTCACGTGTGGTAGAGAGCGTCCCGTTCCAACGAGCATCCATGGACTGCCACGTGTCCTGTTCAGAAACCAAGCGGCTTTTAGAGCGCTGCTTCAGACAATGCATCGGCAAGGGCGATGGGAAGCACGGAAATTTTTCGCGAGGCTGTATGACGATTCGAAAACGTGGTTGAATGTAGAAGACTCGGCGCTTGATGGGAAGCCGCGGCTCTTGACTGGCGCGTAGTATCATCCTACGAGCGGTCTCCCGCGCTTTGAGTATCTTGAAATTGCTGGACAAAACGGAAACACGCAAGGCGGAGGTGGGGTCATGAGCATGCTTCTTCCTGTTGGTTTTACACGACATATATGAAAGTGTGCTTCGCAGCTCAACTGAATGAAGTGGTGGGATACACGAGAAACTCTAGCACAGCAGCCTGCCTGGCAGCAACTACAAAATCGCCATTGCTAGTCTCGCAAGTCGCAAGGGCCTGGCGCAAGCGGTCGGCCGTTGATGTCGTATTTGTACTACAGCTTGGCTTAAGTGTCCAAGCCTAGAAGAACGTACATTTATATGCATGCGCTTCACGTCAAAGCGTGATCCTCCAGATAACGCGGAATAAGGATTGAATTAACGAGAAGGACAGGTCGACTTAAACGCTACGACATGTTGTCTTCGTCGCACGTCTCCACAACGGAGCGGAGTTTGTTACTGGTACTTTGGTGATGTCCGCTTCGAGGCGCAAGTCGGCGGTGCGTCAAGGGTGCCAGCGTCAACGGCGCTTTGGTTGTTGTTGTTGTCAGTGGGGTGCGGAGACCCGTCGAGGGGAACGGAGACGGCGTGGGGGCTCGAACGTACTTGCGCGGCTTCTGCTCGAGCCGGCGCGCTTCCTGCACTTCGAGGGCTTGAAGAATCTTGGTACCAAACATGGTGGAGTGTGTTGAACGTGGGCAAATGCAAACTGACAGGGACGGCGCGATCTTCCAGCGTTGGAATGACCGCGAAAAAATTGCATGAGACCAGCCAATCCGCGGTCCGTTCGATGTAGCCCACCCAATGAAAACGCTGTAACGGTGACACACGCTGAAGCCAAATTTACGCGTTGGTTCGACGCCGATACTCGCATTAAAGCATCCCAAAGGTACTTCGACAAGAAGCAACCTGATCGCAGCGTCACGGACGTCGACTTCACATGAGGAACAGCATATTCGTTGTCCAAAGAGGAAGCGCATGGCTTCTGGCAGCGCACGACTCATGCGATGCAAACGCCCGGCTCTTTCCCGCTGTCGAGGATACAATAATCCGAGACCAACCTACGCCAGTGTCGCATGCGACGTTCACACGTGCAGCGGTGCATCGGACATCAGGCATCAACATGACCACCTCCGATGACGCAACGACACGTATTGCGCGAGCCTCCGATCCCAAACTTTTTCCATGCAGTTTTCTTCAAGTTCTAGGACCTAGGATCATGGGCATGAAATTTCATTCGCAAGGACGAGCCAATCTATATGCTCGAATGTGCAATCAATCGGCCACGCTCATTTTGAGATGGTAGTGCTGCGTTGTTTTTGGCTGGATTTGGGTGACGCCATTCCAG